TGGATGCTGGCAGCCTTTTCACAACAGCTCCCTGCTTCTCTGTTGACCCCTGAGAAAACATAACATAGTCAAGAGAATCCCTTAGATATTCTAAGAATACAGGTAGTCCTCAACTTAACGACTATAATTGAGCCCCAACATTCCTGTTGCTAAGTGAAACATTTGTTAATGTGAATTTTGCCGCGTTTTATCACCTTTCCTACCACCGTTGTTAAGTACTTAAGTTAGTAACACGGTTGTTAAGTGAATCTGGCTTCCCCTTTGTCCTTGCTTGTCAGAAGGTCGCAAAAGGGGATCACATGACCCACCCCCTGGGACTCTGCGGCTGTCATAAATACGACTCAGTTGCCAAGCGTCCGAATTTCAATCCAGTGACCATGGGGGACGCTGCAATGGTCGTCAGTGTGGGAAATGGTCATCAGTCCCTTTTTTTCAATGTCATTGTAACTTTGAACGGTCACTGTTGTAAGTCGAGGACCACCTGCAGGAGGTGACCAGGCTGAGCCCGAGGGAGGGAGGGGGGGGATCGAACGCGTCATTAGTCTCGCATTTCTTCGTGCCCACAAGAGATCTCACCCCGGCTGCCCCTTGACTTCCACTGACGCTTCTCTGCCGCCAATTTGCTTTGACCGCTAGTAGTTCAGATTCTTGCGGAGAGCCTAAAGCTTGATATTCATTTTGAAGTGCCTGGACTTCCTGATTTTTCCCCTGCTTGACAAATAATCTGAGAAATTGTAAGGATGTCTCAGTTATTCTAAGGGTCCTCGTGGGTCTTCAAACTTGGCAACTTTAAAGACGTGTGGATTTCAGCTCCCAGAATTCTCCAGCCGGCAGAGCTATGCTGAAATCCACACGTCTTAAAAGTTGCCAAGTTTGAGGACCTCTGTGGCAGATATTCTGCTTGGGGCTGCCACTTTTTTAGCCGGTGTGGGTGAACATTGCCACCTGGGTGATCAGCGTATCTAGGTAACATCAGGTATCTCCCATTTGACTTAATTTATTCTTATTTATTAAACTTACAAGCCGCCCGTCTGACTGTGCAGCCACTGTGATCCAACTTCTCTTAAGAAGGAAGGCGCAGGGTTAGCTCTGCACCCTCCTCCAAGTGGTCGGTTGCAGTCGGTACGCCACACACACACACACACTGGTACGGGCGTACTGGAGCCTGCCCGGAGCACCGGATACCGTTCCGGTACGGTGCTCCAGAGGGCCCACCCGCCCGGCCGAGCTCCTTACTGGTCTTTTAAGTCTTCGGTGCTTCCACGCACAGCGTGTACAGCACCTGTGCAATGCTCCGCTGAGCCGCTGGAGCATCGTGGAGGCTCACGGAGGCGCTAAGACGCATGTGCGCACTTCCCGTTTCCATGTGGATGCGGGAACCCACCACTGGCGCACAGAGATCCTCAGAGTCAGGCCACTTTTAACGTCCTTCGATTTGAGCCGAGGCTGCTGGCGGCACCTGCCTTGCCATCTTCGGAAGTCCTTTTTGAGCCATTCCGGGCTGGTCATCCCCTCCTGCCTTCTCTCTCTCTCTCTCTCTCCTCTCCCAGACAGCTTTCCCCCTCATCGACAGCGTGGATCCCCACGGCTTCATCTCCTACCGGCTCTTCCGAGACGCCACGCGCTACATGGATGGGCATCACGTGAAGGTAGGGCTGCAGCGCGGTCGGGAGAGCCCCCTGGCCCCGCATGGGAGGGGTCCTTTGCGGTGGCTTTAGGAGCCGCTCGGAACTGAGGAGGCCGAAGGGTCACCTGCAAAACCCATGTGCCCCTTGGGAAGAAGGTGATAATACCTGGGAAACAAGGATACGCAAAGCCACAACGGCCCTTCCTCTGTTTTTAATCGGTTTTAGGCTGCTTTTGGGGACTGTAATGCTGGTTTTGGCTGCCCCGTTACGATGGGCGGTAAATTCTCCACATTTATTGGGGCCCAGGTGGTCCTTGACCACAGTGATTTTGATTTGATTTGATTTGTCTTGTCTTGTATGCCGCCCACTCCCGAANCTATGAAGCGGTATATAAGTCTAACTGCTATTGCTTCGGCTGTTCAAATCTCACCGGCTCAAGGTTGACTCAGCCTTCCATCCTTCCGAGGTGGGTAAAATGAGGACCCAGACTGTGGGGTTGATATGCTGACTCTGTAAACCGCTTAGAGAGGGCTGAAAGCCCTATGAAGCAGTATATAAGTCTAACTGCTATTGCTATTGCTATGAAAAACGACACCATAATGAATTCATATGCAAGTTGGCTTTAAAGCTTTCTGGTCTCCTACCCAATCCTGGTGAATTTTTTTTCCCCTCTTGGTCCAAACTAGGGATAAAAACAGCATCCCGCTCTTCCCCCCCCCAACCCGTTCTGCCTCTTGGCCTCTTCTGACGGCCTCGATTTCTTTTTCCAGATGATCATGGAGCCCACCAGCCCTAAATTGTTGCCAGATCCCTTGAAGGAACCGTATTACCAGCCGCCTTACACCCTGGTCATCGAACTCACCGATGTCCTCCTGCACCCTGAATGGTCGGTCTGTATCCTTTCCAGGAATTGGGGTTTGGGGGGCAGCGCATTCCTCTCAGAGCCAGGGGAAACGGCAGGGCACTTGGTTGACACTCTGCCCCACCTATCAACAGTTTGAATTGTGTGGTTTTCTTGCAGACGTTTCATTGCCAAACTAGGTAACATCATCAGGGTTAGAAGGGAGCAGGCTGATTTTACTTAGTTAATGAAACGTCCGTAAGAAAAAGCGCCAGAGTATCTGCCGGGACTGATGGGGTTCAGTTGATAATTGTCCTTTGTGCCTAGCTTTCTCTCAAGGCCTCTCTTCTCTCTCTCTCTGTCCTGTCCTCAGTTAGTGACCGGCTGGCGCTTCAAAAAGAGGCCGGGCATCGACAACCTCTTCCAGCAGTTGGCGCCTCTCTACGAAATCGTCATTTTCACCTCGGAGACGGGCATGGTGAGCGCTCCAGGGATGGGCCCTGCCAGCTGGCCAAGCGGTGCTCCGATCTTCTTCTTCTCCCTCATTTGAAAGAGGCTTTGAGTGTGCAGAAAATGAACTTGTCCCCTCTATTGAAATTAAAATCCATTATTTATTTTTAACTTAAGCCCTGAATAGATTCCTTTAGCTCAGAAGCCTCCAAACTGGGGCAACTTTTAAGACTTGTGGACTTCAAACTCCCAGAATCCTGGCTGGCTGGGGGATTCTGGGAATTGAAGTCCCCGAGTCTTAAAGTTGCCCTTTAGCTAAAACTCCCTTACGGTTTCCATCACTGCTGGACCAGCAGAGTTCCAGGTATGACTGAACTGAGATTTGTGTCCAGCTGGGGGGAACTGGGCATGAAAGTCCCAGCCAGGGAAGGGAAAGGGGGGTCCAGCTTTGTGTCCAATGCCCATGCTGGCCACACAGATGCAGAGTGACCACAGGGGATAACCTTAGACCATGTCAGGCCATCGAGAGGGAGGGAGGGGAAGGTTAGCACAGCTGGTTAGCCCATTCCCCCTGGCCCTCCCCTCCTTCCTCACGCTTGAGTGGTGGCAGTGGGGGCTCTCCCAGGGAGCGTGCCACGGCTCATTTGAATGAGAATGGCCCCCTCCCTGCGCCTTGCAGCCTATTGAATCCGAAGCATTGCTGTGCTAATTGAGTGGGCCTGTCTTTGGGGAGAAAGCAGCACCCCGGTCTTCACCCCCCCCAAGGTCAGGAGCCGCTCAGGGAAAAGGCTGCCAGCCTCCACCTCTGCCTTCTGGGCACTTGGTTAACTCATGGGGTCCAGCTAGGTCAAATCGGGCAGGCCTGCCCGATTTGACCTAGCTGGACCCCATGAGTTAACCAAGTGCCCAGAAGGCAGAGGTGGATGCTGGCAGCCTTTTCACAACAGCTCCCTGCTTCTCTGTTGACCCCTGAGAAAACATAACATAGTCAAGAGAATCCCTTAGATATTCTAAGAATACAGGTAGTCCTCAACTTA